CGGGAGGCTGAGGCAGGAGAATGGCGTGAACCCGGGAGGCGGAGCTTGCAGTGAGCCAAGATCGCACCACTGTAACTCCAGCCTGGGTGACTGAGCCAGACTCCGTCTCAAAAAAAAAAAAAAAAGAAAATGTGCTGTCATATATATACACAATGAAACACTGTTCACCCTCTAAAAACAATGAAATTCTGATACATGCTACAATGTGGATGAAGCTTGAAAATATGATGTTAAGTGAAATAAGTCAGACACACACACAAAATATTGTATGATTCCACTTACATGAAATATCTAGAATAGGCAAATTCATAGAGACAGTGAGTAGATGTGAATTTGTGAGTGGAGAGGAGGAGAGAATGAGGGTGTATTGCTCAGTGGGTAGAGAATTTCCGTTTGGGGTGATGAAAACTTTTGGAAACGGTGATGGGTTGCATGACATTGTGAATGGAATTAATGCCACTGAACTGTATCCTTTAAAATGGTTAAAATGGCAGATTTTATGCTATACATGTTTTATCACATTTATCACACAGCACTTGGCTATGTTTGTTTATTATTCTTTTTTCCCCTCACTTCTGGAGACGTAGGCATAGGTTTTTCTATTTGTTTTTCTCCCGCTGTTTTTAAACTGCGAACTCATGCCAAGTCAAAAATTAACTTAAAATGCTGTTCTGATAACATTATATGGAATTCTCATTTTTGTTATTTTGGTTGTTTTTTTTTTTTCCTTATCCAAGAAAGACCCTAACTTTATTGGCAAGCTTGTTTATATTTCCAAGTATATCATTTTTGTTTGTTTAAACATGCTATTAATTTTTACAGATTATTTTTTCTTTTTGGTGCTGAGGTGAAAGAACATGTTCTGTATTGTTTATGCTTTGTAAAATTTATTGAATCTTTTTGTGACCTGGTATAAAAACAATGAACAATATTTGTATGATACTGGCTGGGCACGATAGCTCATGCCTGTAATCCCAGCAGTTTGGGAGGCCGAGGTGGGTGGATTACGTGAGATCAGGAGTTCGAGACCAGCCTGGCCAACATGGCAAAACCTCATCTCTACTAAAAAAAAAAAAAACAAAAAAAATAGCTGGGTGTGGTTGCACACACCTGTAATCCCAGATACTTGGGAGGCTGAGGCAGGAGAATCACTTGAATCCAGGAGGCAGAGGTTGCAATGAGCCAAGATTGCACCACTGCACTCCAGCCTTGGCGACAGAGACACTGTCTCAAAAAAAAAAAAAAAATATATATATATATATATACACACATACACACACAAATACATACAAATTTTATGATACTTATGAAAGTATTTTAAATCATATGTAGCATATGAAAATACCATTTAAATAAATCTCTATTAAGTTATTCAAATCTTCTATGGTCTTATTATTTTTTCTCTTGCCCTTTCTTAGATTTGTAATTGCATACTAAATTTCCCCACCATGATTATTTCTATCCATTTCTCTTCACATGTGTAATTTTTTCTACTTTATGTATTTTGATTCCATGCCTTCCAGTCCATGCTTTTGAAAAATAAAATTATCATTTTTACTACCTTTATGAGTGTTTTCGTTATCATGAATTTTACTTTGTCCAATATACTAATACTCTAGTTCCTGCTATGTTTATATTTGTCCCATGTAGCTTTGTTCATCTTTTATTTTTAAGCTCTATACATTGTTTCTATTATAAGATGATTCTTGAAACCGTAATACATTGATTTGGTGTTTTAACAGTCTGAAAGTCTTACCTTCTTTTTTTAGAAATTTACCTTTTTACTTACATGGCTGTTATTTCTATACTAGATCTTCTTATTATCTTATTTCCTGCTTTCCACGTGCTTGTGTATATGCATGTATTTGTTGATGCTATTGATACTAATACCTAACTGTATTTTAGTATCTCTTTCACAGTAAGACTATGTTTTGTTTCTTTCTTTCTTTGCTACGCAATGATTTGGAAAGTACACATCCCTGCTTTTCAATTTTACTAGTTGTTTACTTTAAAGACTCTAACTCTAAGAAATGTTTTTAACTGAGCACTTATATGCTTTTTAAAAACCAGGATACCGGTGAATGTACAGATGATGCATACATCGATACTCAGCTACGAATTGCTTCCTTCTCACAGAAGTGTGACATTTATCCAGGTAAGGAATAACACACGTTGGCACCACAATAGAGGAACAGCGGTCCCAGACAACTGGCTGGGTCTTTTCCTATAAGTTGTGTTTTGGCTCCCATGATATACTCCAAAGTCTGTGTAACCTGCAGACACAGATGCACGCCTTGATGAGAACACTGGACCCCTTCCCTGCCCAGTTGTGCTGCAGCTCAGACTGTTCTGCAAGTGGCCAGAATGGGTTATAAAGACAGAAGGGAAATTTGTGACCCCTGGATAAAGTTGGCCTTTGGGTACAATGCCAACTGGTCTCTCTTCTCTACAAGTTGTCCTTAAGGCAGATGTTGTAAGTTGGAGAGACGTGTATTTTATTTCTTAGCACTCAGAATAAAACCCTTTCAATTAAGGTGTTTTTTGTCCTGCATGTTATAATGGGAGGAAATGGAGATAGTGTGAGTTTGTGGTCAGGTCAGTGTTTCTTATAACAAGGGTGTGTTTTTCTCATACTTGGAAAACACTTGTATGCATTCCACCATGAGTAGTCTGAAGCTGCCTGTTCACCAGAACCACAGCACTTAAATTTTTCTCATGAGAGTCACTCCTTTAAATTAAGCATTGCTTTTTACAGTTTCCATCAAAAATGCAAAAATTCGGGAAAAGTGTAGCATTTTGATTGAGTTACTTGCACCTTCCTATTGAAAATGTTTCCCTAAATACACTGTGCTCTGAGGAGGGGAAAAGAAGAGAGGCAGGACGTGAAAGTCAGACAGACAACCTTCACCCACTCACTACTGGGCCTGGGCTCCCATGTGGCCCTTTATACATGTGGATGCTGGTTCTTGTGCAGGAGGGATGCTAGGCCAGGCTGCTACTTCAGTGTACATGCTGACTTAAAACCTGATCCTTTCAGGGGAGGATTTTGTACAACCACCTTCCAAGATTTGCGTGGGCTGCCCCAGAGATATACCCACCAACAGCCCAGAGCTGGAGGAGACACTGACTCACACCATCACAAAGCTTAATGCGGAGAATAACGCAACTTTCTATTTCAAGATTGACAATGTGAAAAAAGCAAGAGTACAGGTTTGTAAATTATGCTACAAAAGCAGTAACACTATAGTCTATGTGCAAATTGCTTACTAATTTTGCCACTGATCTTGGCTCTGGATTAGGAAATGATACATTTGATAATGTGATTTAGTGCATTAGATTTAATTAAGTGCCAGTCTCCCTGTATGCTTGATCCTGGACAAGTGTTTTACAACATTCTGTTTTCTATATGTGAAGGACTGAGGTGAGGATCAAATAAGTTAATATATGTCATATCACTTTTCCAAACTGTAAAACGCTATATAAATACAATAGCCGCTGGGCGCGGTGGCTCACACCTGTAATACCAGCACTTTGGGAGGTCGAGGCGGGTGGCTCACAAGGTCAAGAGATCGAGACCGTCCTGGCCAACATGGTGAAACCCTGTCTCTACTAAAAATACAAAAATTAGCTGGGCGTGGTGGTGTGCACCTATAGTCCCAGCTACTCAGGAGGCTGAGGCAGGAGAATCGTTTGAACCTGGGAGGCAGAGGTTTCAGTAAGCCAAGATTGCGCCACTGCACTGCAGCCTGGCAACACAGTGAGACTCTGTCTAAATAAATAAATAAATACAATAGCAACAGTGATACAATTAATAAAATTCAGGGCTACGGCCAGCAAGACTTACTCTATGTCTTTCTAGACTCATCTCTCATTATAATACCACATAATGCCTTGGGCTCGGCCACATCAGGCAATCCATCACTGCCCAGGCTCCAAACTCTCTTGCCTCCATGTCTTTCACCCACTGTTTTCTCTGCCTGGGATCCCGCTCTCCTGCAAATGTACCCTCTGGGGATTCATCTTCCTTTCATGCCCTGTCAATAGAAGATTGACAGGAGTGTCTCCTGGGAGTCAGGAGACTCAGTTCCACCATAGCATCTGCCACTCACATGCCAGATCACTCTGGGTGGTCATTCAAATGTTCTAAGCCTTTGTGGCCCCATTTGTAAAATGAGTGACTGTATTAGAAGAGCCTACATTTGCCAGGCATAGTGACTCATGCCTGTAATCCCAGCACTCTGGGAGGCTGAGGCAGGCAAATTACCTGAGGTCAGGAATTCGAGACCAGCCTGACCGTGGAGAAACCTCGTCTCTACTAAAAATACAAAACTAGCCGGGTGTGGTGATGCATGCCTGTAATCTCAGCTACTCGGGAGGCTAAGGCAGGAGAATCACTTGAAGCCGGGAGGTGGAGGTTGCAATGAGCTGAGATTGCGCCATTGCTCTCCAGCCTGGGCAACAAGAGCAAAACTCCGTCTCAAAAAAAGAGAAGAGCCTACATTTCTAGCAACTCCAATAATCTCTGACTGATATGATTATGGACATATCCCTGTTTTAGGTACTCAAAATTGGCTTCCCTAAATATAAGCTAAAGAAAAATAATCAAAATAGAGCCAAATTGTTACAGCAAGCCAACATAATCCTCATAATCTGGTGAAAAAATTCTCACTAAAAAGTTCATGCTTTTGGCTCAGAATTGAATTTCTAGGAATCTAAAATAGGAGTCTTTATATACAATGATATTCACTGCAGTTTTAAGTATAACAGCAAAAATAGTAAACTGTCAAAATGATTAATATGAGAATGATTAGATCATGCCTGGCATATCCTCGGAATAGAGTATTAAGCAGCAATTTAAAAGTATCTTTGTGAGGAGCTCTTGATATGGGGAATGTCTTGTGTTATAATATTCAATGAAAAAAAGGAGTCATAAAATTGAATATACGCGATGTTATCAGTTGTGTTATTTTAAAGGACAGAAAATAATGTTAAAAAAAAAAAAGGTGGCTCACGCCTGTAATCCCAACACTTTGGGAGGCCGAAGTGGGTGGGTTGCTTGAGGTCAGGAGTTTGAGACCAGCCTGGGCAACATGGTGCAACTCCAGCTACACTATTAGGTTGGTGCAAAAGTAGTTGTGGTTTTTGCCAAAGTAATGGCAAAATCACAATTACTTTTGCATCAACCTAATAAAAATTCCAAAATTAGCAGGGTGTGATGGTACACACCTGCAATCCCAGCTACTCAGGAGGCTAAGGCACAAGAATGGCTTGGACCCAGGAGGCGGAGGTTGCAGTGGGCCTAGATCGTGCCACTGCACTTCAGCCTGGGCGACAGAGTCAGACTCCGTCTGGAAACAAGACTCCGTCTGGAAACAAACAAAAAAACGAATGTCTCATAGTCATAGGGGAGATTTTTAGATGATGGAATAACAGGCTACTTTAAACTTTCTAATTTTCTGTGTTACTTTTGTAACTGAAAAAAGTAAACAAACTAGATTAAAGTAAATCAATACTGACACTTTGATCTCTCTGCTACTTGAGCACTGGTTTCCATCCCAGACACGAGCACCCTCTCTCTCGGATTTCATTGCCACATGACCATGTCAGGTTTACTTGAAAGGAATGCCAATCTATGCTATTCATGCTCTTGTCAGCTTTAATTCTCACTTTGTATTTTTGCTTTTTTGTTAAATTCTTTTTTTGTTTTTTTCATTGTTGTTTTTTAAGAGAGACAGGGGCCAGACATGGTAGCTCATGCCTGTGATCCCAGTACTTTGGGAGGTCAAGACAGGAGGATCACTTGAGCCCAGGAGCGAGACCAGCCTGAGCAACATAGCAAGACCCTGTCTCTACAAGAAAAGAATTAAAGGCCAGACGTAGTGGCTCATGCCTGTAATCCCAGCGCTTTGGGAGGCCAAGGCAGGTGAATCACCTGAGATCGGGAGTTCGAGACCAGCCTGACCAACATGATGAAAAACCATCTCTACTAAAAATACAAACATCAGCTGGGCATGGTGGTGGGTGCCTATAATCCCAGCTACTTGGGAGGCTGAGGCAGGAGAATCACATGAACTCGGGAAGCGGAGGTGAAGTGAGCCGAGATCACGCCATTGCACTCTAGCCTGGGCGACAAGAGTGAAACTCCATCTCAAAAAATAATTAAAAAAAAAAAAAGAACTAAAAAATTAGCTGGGTATGGTGGTATGTGCTTGTAGTCCCAACTACTTTGGGAAGCTGAAGTGGGAGGATTGCTTGAGACTGGAAGGTCAAGACTGCAGTGAGCTGTGATCATGCCACTGCACTCCAGCCTAGGTGACAGAGCAAGACCCTTTGGGTAACAGAGCAAACAAAAAAAGAGAGAGAGTGTGAGAGAGAGATGGGGGTCTCACTGTGATGCCCAGGCTGGACTCGAACTCCTGGGAGCAAGCAATGTGCCCATCTCAACCTCCCAAGTAGCTAGGATTACAGGCGCACACCACTGCTCCCAGCTCCCTTATTCTCTATTCTGAATGTTGTAGGAATAGGCCACCACGTATTGTATGTCAGAGGTTTGCCATCAAAAACAGAACCACTCATTCTCAAGCATGAATATCTAGTCTTCTTAGTAGTTACAGTTTTTTCTGTAGATTAACAAATCAACATTCTAGTATGTGTGTGTGTCTACATTAAGGATGCCAGGGAGACACAAAGAGGTAACTCATCGGTTAGTTGCCAAGTGAATCTCAATATTGTGAGAATTTCAAACTTACTTTAGAGAGATGAATCTTAACTGATTTTTGCATTTAAAGAGAGCAATTTGGCTGCTTGGACATAGTCACCCAAGGCAGCCTTGGTAGAAGCAGCCAATTGACTGGAAATCAATTAAACATATGATGAATTTGCTAAAAGCTAGTCTCCAAATGACCAATTTGCCAAATTGCTAAATATATATTTTATAGTTTTAATCTTGCCCTGGGTTTGCACATTTAGTCCTGTTTGGATGCATGTGATTCCATGTTGGGTTCACATTTCAGATACCAAACACTTCCTGAATCTTCCATTTTCACACGTTAGTGACTGCAGTTTCATATACGTTTTATTTTGCCCTGCCACCACTGCTGCTGTCCCCAAGGCTGTTGATGCTCCTGTCTGCCTCTGCTGAGATGAATAAACTTCCAAGATCTGTGTGTGCACATGCAGAAATTTTTCCTTTGACAAAGTCCTAGAAATGTCAAAGAATACGTATATATCTAAGACTTGATGCAAATTGCCAAAATCACTAAATATTTGCAATGATGCCAATTTACACTCACATTACCTGGGTATAAGACACCAGTTGAGGCCAGGTGTGGTAGCTCACGCCTGTAATCCCAGCACTTTTGGGGGCAGAGGCGGGCGGATCACCTGAGGTCAGGAGTTTGGGACCAGTCTGGCCAACATTCTACAAAAAATACATTCTACATTCTACAAAAAATACAAAAATTAGCTGGTCATGGTGGCACTTGCCTGTAATCTCAGCTACTTGCGGGGGTTGAGGCAGGAGAATCACTTGAACTCAGGAGGAGGAGGTTGCAGTGAGCCAAGATCGTGTCACCGCACTCCAGCCTGGATGACAGAGCGAGACTCCGTCTCAAAAAATAAAAGCAAAAAGACACCAGTTGAGGATCTTAATTTAAATTCTCTTCCTACCAGCAGTGACTGAGGCTGCTTGATTCCTATGCCTGGCCAATGCCACGTATCATCAATTTTTGTTTTTATCTTTGCCTGCATGGAAGGCTAACAATGATGTCTCATTGCTTTTTTAATGTGCATGTTTTTGTTTATTAATGAAGTTAAACTTTTTTTCAGGCTTAATGACCATTTTAACTTCTTCTCTGAAATACCTGCTCATGGCTTTTGTCCATTTTTTAGTGTTGGGCTTTATAGGCATACAGATATTGATTCTATATCATAGTTTTCCCAGCTTGCCTTTCTATTTTGCTTATTGTGATTTTTCAGAAGCAGTTCTCATTTTTCTCTAGTCAAGTTTTAATATTTTCCCCTTCCTTTAGATTTCTTTCCTCTGCTTTTCATCTAAGAAAGGTCTTCCTCATACTGAGTTTTGGTGAATATTTATTTATTTGTTTTAGTTTAGTTGTGTTTTTGTTGTTTGTTTGCTTTTGTTTTGTTTTGTTTCCCGAAACAGAGTCTCACTCTGTCACCCAGGCTGGAGTATAGTGGCACAATCTTGGCTCACTGTAACCTCCGCCACCCAGGTTCAAGCAATTCTCCTGCCTCAGCCTCCCAAGTAGCCAAGATTACAGATGCCTGCCACCATGCCTGGCTAAGTTTTAGTATTTTTAGTAGAAACAGGGATTCACTATATGTTGGCCAGGATGGTCTCAAACCCCTGACCTCAGGTGATCTACACGCCTCAGGCCCCCAAGGTGCTTGGGATTACAGGCAGGAGTCACTGTTTAAATACTACAACTTAATACTAAACAATTTGGTTGAGAAATTGGGCCATAAAATATTTAATGGAAGATAGCATTGAGTAGTGATTAAAACTGTTGCTAGAGATTAAAATAATTTTTTTCTTTTTGAGAAGGAGTCTCACTCTGTCACCCAGTTTGGAGTGCAGTGGCATGATCTCGGCTTACCGCAACCTCTGCCTCCTGGGTTCAAGTAACTCCCCTGCCTCAGCCTGTCAAATAGCTGGGATTACAGGTGTGCACCACGATGCCCATCTAATTTTCATATTTTTAGTAGAGGTGGGGTTTCACCATGTTGGTCAGGCTGGTCTTGAATAGCCTGCTTTAAGTGATCCACCTGCCTCAGCCTCCCAAAGTGCTGGAATTACAGGCACGAACCACCACGCCCAGCCTAAAATAATTTCTTAATATTAAAAATAGTAAGAGAACAATAAAAACCCCAAATAATTTTTCTAATTACAAAATTTAATCCACATAATTTCTATAATAGTACTAACTCAGTATTTCACCAATTCAAGATTTGGCAGGACAATAAGACATGTTTAAAAACATTTTAAGTTTTTCTTCCTATTCCTGTTAGATTCTTAGATATTACAACTTGAGCCCTTGAATTACTAGTGAATTTAACAGCTGTTGGACAATAAAACTCAAATAAATACATAAATAAATAAAGATTATAGGCCAGGCATGGTGGCTCATGCCTGTAATCCCAGCACTTTGGGAGGCCGAGGCGGGTGGATCACCTGAGGTCGGGAGTTCGAGACCAGCCTGACCAACATGGAGAAACCCCATCTCTACTAAAAATACAAAATTAGCCAGGCATGGTGGCAGGCAACTATAATCCCAGCTACTCAGGAGGCTGAGGCAGGAGAATTGCTTGAATCCAGGAGGTAGAGGTTGCGGTGAGCCAAGATCATGCCACTGCACTCCAGCCTGGGTAACAAAAGTCAAACTGTCTCAAAAAAAGAAAAACAAAAAATTATAGCTTGCTTATTTCTTCCCCCATTTAGAAAAGGAAATGGGAGCAACCGACAGCCAAATATTTTAAACATGCATGCCAAGATTTAATGCCAAACATTTGTACTTTTTTTATGTAACTCTCTAAGTTGGTCAATTAAAATTTCAAGATTCTCCCTTAAAATTTCTTGAAGATAAATGATTTATTATGCAAATATTTTTAAGTGTTTACTTTGTACTAATTAATTTTTCAGGTGGTGGCTGGCAAGAAATATTTTATTGACTTTGTGGCCAGGGAAACCACATGTTCCAAGGAAAGTAATGAAGAGTTGACCGAAAGCTGTGAGACCAAAAAACTTGGTGTGAGTAGTCATGCACCTGTCTACTTTTTCACTGGAAGCCTATTGGATGTTTTTGAATCATTTGTTCAAGTATCTCATGAATAACACTGTCTCTCTTTTGACTTCTGTTTTTATGGATAGCAAAGCCTAGATTGCAATGCTGAAGTTTATGTGGTGCCCTGGGAGAAAAAAATTTACCCTACTGTCAACTGTCAACCGCTGGGAATGGTATGATTCTCATTACAGTCGGCGTGGGGGCGGCTCTGCTCATTCTGAAAATCCATATTTGGGGGTTGAAAATGAACCATTACTGAAATGAATTGGGGAGCTATCTTTTTAAATGGGGAGTAACTCTCACACTTCTGTGCTGATGTCTGTTTAATGGCTAGAAAGGAGGGTAACAATCCTCCTGATCACTTCTCACACATTGTCAGCATCTCAGTGAAGCTTCTATAGACTCTCTCCGAGTGCCTTGCAGTCCTGCTGTAAGGGAGCATCATTGGCTATGCCAGGTGTACCTGAGGCCAGATACAGCACTCCACTGCATTCTGCTGACATGCAAGGACCATGTGAAAAATGCATGGCCAGGAGTGGTGGCTCATTCCTGTAATCCCAGCACTTTGGGAGGCCAAGGCAGGCAGATCACCTGAGGTCAGGAGTTCAAGACTAATCTGGCCAACATGGTGAAAACTCCGTCTCTACTAAAACTACAAAAATTAGCCGGGTGTGGTGGTGCACGCCTGTAATCCCAGCTACTCGGGAGGCTGAGGCAGGAGAATCCCTTGAACCCAGGAGGTGGAGGTTGCAGTGAGCCGAGATCCTGCCACTGCACTCCAGCCTGGGCAACAAAGAGCAAAACTGTGTCTCAAAAAAAAAAAAAAAAAAAGAGAGAAAGAAAAGAAAAGAAAAATTCAGACTTGCAAACCCCACTTCACAGCTACCGAATTTTAACGAGATCCCCGGGGTATTCATATGCATGAATCAAGTTTGAGAAGCATTCTTGATGTCATTTTTCTATTTTAAGTCTTAAAAGAACTCTGGGACATAGTAACACTTTCCTTATTGTCAAGGATGAGACACTAAAAATTAGAAAGACTCTGAGGTCCTGAGTGAATAATGACATCATCAAATGCTTCCTCTGTCCCAGGCACTATACTGAAGGCTCCACCCACATTTTCCTCCTTATAACTCTGTGAGGCAGGTGCTGTTATTATTTCTATTTTACAGAAGACAAAAGTGAAGCTGGTGGCACTTGGATTCAAATCTTGGTCAATTCAGAGTCTACCCTTTTCATCACGATGCTGATTACCAGTAGGGTCTGGCTTGACTGCAATGACCATGTTCTTTGCATCACCAAACACTGCCTCCAATTAACACATTCTCACAGGTAGCAAAAGTGTAGGTAGAATCAATCCACAAATTGACTTCTTTGATGCAAGTTACCTCTTCTCCCTCTTTTCTGATTTGGTCTTTTGTCGTGTGTAGGTATGTAGATAGTCTAACACAAACATGGTACTAAGGCTGCATTTCAAGTTTGCAAATATGTCTCAGTGTACTTCAGCACAACAAAGTGATAATGGATACATGCTCCCTATATATTCAGTTCATAAAGCCACTCAGGGCCTTTTAGGCTAAAAGCAGTGATGGTGGTAATAACAGTAGTATCAACAATTAAATACTGTGCTTGCATAAACATAGGCCTAGAAGATACCCTAGAGATGGCCGGGTGCGGTGGCTCAAGCCTGTAATCCCAGCACTTTGGGAGGCCGAGACGGGTGGATCACGAGGTCAGGAGATCGAGACCATCCTGGCTAACACGCTGAAACCCCGTCTCTACTAAAAATACAAAAAATTAGCCAGGCGTGATGGCGGGCACCTGTAGTCCCAGCTACTCGGGAGGCTGAGGCAGGAGAATGGCGTGAACCCGGGAGGCTGAGCTTGCAGTGAGCCGAGATCGCGCCACTGCACTCCAGCCTGGGCGACAGTGAGACTCTATCTCAAAAAAAAAAAAAAAAAGAAGATACCCTAGAGATTAGCTAGCTTAACCACCCAATTTTTCCAGATGAAGAAAAAATGCTCAGCTAATTTTACAGTGTTTTTTGTTGTTTGGTTTTTGTTTATTTGTTTGTTTTGGTTTGTCTTGGGTTTTTTTTTTTTGACAGAGTCACTGTCACCTAGGCTGGAGTGCAGTGGTGCCATCTCAGCCCACCGCAACCTCCACGTACTGGGTTCAAGTGATTCTCCTACCTCAACCTCCTGAGTAGCTGAGATTACAGGCATGTGCCACCACACTCAGCTAATTTTTGTATTTTTAGTAGAGTTAGAGTTTCACTATGTTGGCCAGGCTGGTCTCAAACTCCTGACCTCAAGTGATCTGCCCACCTTGGCCTCCCAAAGTGCTTAGATTACAGGCATGAGCCACCGTGCCTGGCCATTTTACAGTATTATTAAGAACAATAATCAATGTCCACAAATTTTAAGGTCAATCAAAAGACAAAAAAAAATTATTCATCCTTTCTGGAATATCAGTACAGTATTTAAACTCTGGAAAACACCTCCCCCATTGTAAACTAAGATAGCACTGCCAGATCTCAGTGTTTCTTTCCTTCATTGATAGCATGATTTTTGCAGTAATACTTTCATCTTAATATTTTCTGTTTAGATCTCATTGATGAAAAGGCCTCCAGGTTTTTCACCTTTCCGATCAACACAAGTAGGGAAAATAAAAGAAGAAACAACTGTAAGTCCACCCCACACTTCCATGGTACCTGCACAAGATGAAGAGCAGGAGTCAGGAAAAGAACAAGGGTGTACTCATAGACATGACTGGGGCCATGAAAAACAAAGAAAATATAATCTCGGCCATGGCCATAAACATGAACGTGACCAAGGGCATGGGCATCAAAGGGGACATGGCCTCGGCCGGGGACACCAACAACAGCATGGTCTTGGTCATGGACATAAGTTCAAACTTGATGATGATCTTGAACACCAAGGGGGCCATGTCCTTGACCATGGACATAAGCATAAGCGTGGTCATGGCCATGGAAAACATAAAAATAAAGGCAAAAAGAATGGAAAGCACAATGGTTGGAAAACAGAGCATTTGGCAAGCTCTTCTGAAGACAGTACCACACCTTCTGCACAGATACAAGAGAAGACAGAAGGGCCAACACCCATCCCTTCCCTAGCCCAGCCAGGTGTAGCAGATACTTTTCCTGACTTTCAGGACTCTGATCTCATTGTAACTGTGATGTCTCCTATACCACCAACTCCCACAGAGAGTGATGACGATTGGATCCCTGACATCCAAATAGAACCAAATGGGCTTTCATTTAACCCGATATCAGATTTTCCAGACACAACCTCCCCCAAATGTCCTGGACGCCCCTGGAAGTCAGTTAGTGAAAATAACCCAACCACAAAAATGAAAGAATCTTATGATTTCAATCTTGCTGATGCCCTTTATTAATGTATGCAGCTATGGGTATTTCTTTAATACTTTATTAAAGTATCAATATCCCTCTCTCCATTGTCCAAATGAAAATATCCTGATATAATGCACCAAAAACTGTGCAGTTTCAGAACAATCTAAAGAGAAGTGGTGAGACTCTCGGTGAAGACACCATCAGTCTCTGTGGACTGCATAAAATTGTGTGCCACAATTCTGAATCTTTTCTGAATCTTCTCCCCAAGTTTTCTAAACTAGCACAGTAAATGAACAAACTAATGTGCCTTATGGCCTGCTGCAGTTGGCTTCTCTGATAACAATTATGTACCTTGCAACATATGTCATGAATTTTCATACAAAGATTCTTGACATTCTTAATAAACTGTGGCACCTGGTCTTTGAATGTGTGTGAAAATAAGGGAAATCAAGAGATTAAATGGTGAACTTATTAATGGAATAGAAAGAAGAAAAACTTCCAGATGTCAAAGAGAAGTAACAAGAAAGAAAGACAGGTTAGCCAAAGGGAGGAAAGGGGAGACATAAATTAATTGACTTTCTGTTCCCAAAATGGGCTAGTTATATCAAATAAGTACTCCCACTTCCCTTTCTGAGTGAGAGTGATTCTCACAAGTCAATAACTTCTGTTTACTCATTAACTACACTTTGCAACAGGCTTTCATAGAGGAGTACTCTGTTTATTTTTGCTGAACCTAGATTGAGTAATTCTTAGTTTACAGAAGCTCCGAGCTTAATGATAAGGATGAAAAGCAGAGGGAGCAACACAGAAGCAGGCTTGCTAAGAAACCTTTTTAAATAATTGACAAGGGAATATTATGGAATGTGATGCAAAGTTTGTTCAGAAATTTTATGAGGAAATTATTCTCTAGTCTCATTTTATAATCTTTTTGCTATGACTTTGAAGACCATTGACTTTTGAGAAAGAGAATAATAGGATTATCTTTCATTGCCTTATACTGCGAAGAAGGTATATGCTTTATAACCAATGTTGTCTTTTTGCCTAGAGAAACAAGATATGGCTTTAAATAGCTACAATCATCTTTGGATGTATATGTCACTGCTGCTTCAACTTTTTGGATGCATTTGAACTTCTGAGTTTGTCTTTCATTTTAAATATTGTCTGTTCTTTTAAATAAACAACCACAGATGTCAGGAAAAAGTCTTACCTTGTCAACTGGTTGCTCCACTTTTTAAAAAAGATTGAATGATAACATCAGATTAACTGCATTTTACTATACTTACAGAGTCACCTAAGGTCCTGCGAGTACAAGGGTCGACCCCCAAAGACAGGGGCAGAGCCAGCATCTGAGAGGGAGGTCTCTTGACCAATGGGCAGAATCTTCACTCCAGGCACATAGCCCCAACCACCTCTGCCAGCAACCTTGAGAGGAAGGACAAGAAGAAAGATGGGATAGAATTTAAATAGAGAAGAATGCCATTTTATCACTCTGCCTCTGGGTGAAATAAAGATCAGTCTTGATGTTCTTACTCCTGGTTAATTCACAGTGGTCTCCTTTCGGCCATACCCATCCTGCAGCAAATTCCAGCTGGTCAGAGAGTCAGTGCTGTGGCTCTGCCACGGAGGTTCATAACCCAACACTGGAACATTCTCTAACCAAGGCAGAAGTGCTTTGGCGGGACTTCCTTTTAGCACCATGGGTGCTAAAAGAAGAGTTAGTAGGTCATGCTGCTAATCTAAGGACTCTCTCTACCTTCTCTTCTTCCTCTTTATCCAGATTTCCAAGCCTTAGCTAAGAGTAATTTGGCTTGTTTAGTATTGTTTTCTTATAGTTCAGTTAATTACCAAAAATATTTTTAAAATCATCTCTGTTAATACGATGTCTACCAACTTCTCATTATCAGAAAATACCTAACCTCCAAAGAAATTTGAAATTATCTTTCTGATCCAGGTAAAGAAGCAAATAGAAAATCAATAAAATAAAAAGTGACAGAGATTTTAAATTTTCTGTAATAAAAACATTTATTGGGCTGGGCATGGTCACTCACGCGTGTAATCCCAGCACTTTGGGAGGCCAAAGCGGGGGGATGACCTGGGGTCAGGAGTTTGAGACCAGCCTGGCCACATGGCAAAACCCCATGTCTAATAAAAATACAAAATTAGCCAGGCGTGGTGGCACATGCCTGTAATCCAAGCTACTCCAGAGGTGAGGCAGGAGAATCACTTTAGCCTGAGAGGCAGAGGTTGCACTTGCAGAGGTTGAACTACTGCACTCCAGCCTGGGTGACAAAATGAAACAAAACTCAGGCGCAAAAAAAAAGGAAAAAAAAAAAAAACATTTATTGAAAATCTATTACAGCCATTTGCTGTGCTAGATAATTTACTTTTGGCATATAACTTAATCCTCACAACCACTCTAAGGCCCTCGTGGTCATCATTCTTTTACAAGGAAACTGTAGTTCACAGTGCCCAGCCCAGAGTCACACAGTTAATAAGTGACAGGGCTGGCATTCAGACTTAGACCTTTTGAACTCCATTATACCATGTCATCTGAAGGCTTTATTATTAATGTTGTCATTACAAAAGGCACACCAAGTCACTGACTACAGTCACAGAGACCCAATGAAGAAAAAAAAAAAAAAAAGACATGCCAAGATAATTTCTGACTCTGAGAGGATCCTTGTCTCAATTCAAAATATCCTTATTAAATACCTAATTGTGGCTGGTGCTGTTCTAAGTATTGGTCAGGATAAACTGAGTTAAGCAGCAGTCACTAACTATTTACCATATGCTTCGCATGAGGTCCTGAGAGGAAAAGAAATAAATTTTAAAAGACATAAATCCTTTCCCTCAAAGATCTTGCAATCCCATTGGTAAGTCAAGATGAAAGCATATGGAACGAAGACTTGATCCGGCTGCAGTCTTTTGTGGAACAGTGAGTGAACGCAACCAATGTGATTGGAAGAAGTTGACAAGGTAGAGGGATCAGCTGTGAAAGGTAGCATGTAGCCCAATTGGGAGTTTAGGCTGAAATATGCAGTAGAGTTCCTTCTACAGTCTTTACCATACTCAGAGAGTATTTGAGATGGATGATTCTGAAGGTTCTGCGTAGGGTGGACCAAAATGAGAAGAGAATGGAGTCAGGGTACTGCTCTGGGTATTTCCTGACGATCATGTTTTAGCAGAAAAATAATGACTAAGGGCTGATATATAAAGCCTATACCTCTCAGTTTACTCAACAACATGAAGTATTTCCACTTCAGGCCTTTGTTAGGTAACATAAACATGAGTTTCCTGTGACCCAGAAACTAACTTTCTTATTTTTTAAATATCTATACCAGCGGGACATGGTGGCCAACGTCTGTAAGCCCAGCACTTTGGGAGGCCAAGACAGGCGGATCACCTGAGGTCAGGAGTTCAAGACCAGCCTGACCAATATAATGAAATCCCATCTCTACCAAAATTACAAAAATTAGCTGGGCATGGTGGCGTGTGCCTGTAGTCCCAGCTACTTGGGAGGCTGAGGCAGAGGAATCGCTTGAACCTGGGAGGTGGAGGTTGCAGTGAGCCGAGATCACGCCACTACACTCCAGCCTGGGTGACAGAGCAAGACTCTGTCTCAAAAAATAATAATAATAAATAAAAGACATAAATCACTTACTGAGTATGAAGAATGAAAGAGAGGAATAAATTGAAGAGGACAATATATTTTTCAGTCCGGTGCCTACAGGAATGATGACATTGACACAAACAAGGAAACTGTGCTTTCTAGTAGCTCATAAAGTAACAGACTGACTTAAAATGCACATAATTTAAAACATTTCAATAGCTGCATGCATAAACATACAAAATCAATACACAAATGGAGTGTAAAACACTACTACATCCCGGCTCAAATAATCGAAGTCTAATGATTACAGTCATGTCATTAACTCTAATATCCATGGCACTTGCCATACAAACAGGATAGTATCCTTAGATATTCGTGAACTAAGCTTGTGGAAAACATGTGGGAAACTGCATTACAAGAATCCTCATCATATCAAAAAGAACAGAAAGTAAAGAAATTATTCTCTGAAAATAATCTTCACTTCTGTCTCTACTACTGAATTAGAAATATGATTCTAGCAAAAGTCTTTGGTCTCTAACTGTCTTTCTCTTTATGGCAATTAGAGACGGTACCACATTGAGTGTATAGAAATAACACGATTCAATGTGTCCATTAAAAATGGATAAAATAGTAGGTCTTGGAAAAAAATACATAGGTAGCAGCTTTTTAGGTAAGCGGTATTTACCAGCTGGGTCATTTTGCTCTGTGCCAACTCAACTCAGCAGGAATTACGCTTTTAAGGAGCCCCTTTCCTACATGGGTCTGGGTTAGAGTTAGCCAAAGAAGAAATTTGTGTGAGATTTGGAAGACAAACAAAGCAGCAGCCACTATTCTCTGAAAGTCATCGGGGTAACATGCAGTGAGAGGGCTGGACACGGTTGCTCATGCCAGTAATTCCAGCACTTTGGGAGGCTGAGACGGACAAATCACCCGAGGTCAGGAGTTTGAGACTAGCCTAGCCAGTATGGCAAAACCCCGTCTCTACTAAAAAGCACAAAAATTAGCCGGGCATGGTGACAGGCACCTGTAATCCCAGCTTGAACCTGGAAGGTGGAGGTTGCAGTGAGCCAAGATTGCGCCACTGCACTCCAGCCTGGATGACAGAGCGAGACTCCATCTCAAAAAAAAAAAAAAAAGAACAAAGAAAAGAAAAGCTGCAGTGAGAGATGGATGCAGGGATGCCAAAGGGTTCCAGCCTGTTCTCCCTCGCCCCTGTTTGGCACTCAATTCTTCTTCCACTGCCGGCATAGCCATAGTACACCTAACAGGGCAAGGGCCTTCCACAGATTTCTCCACTAACTCCCCTGTGCAGTCCCTTGGCAGCTATATGTGCCTGTCCAGTTTTCCCTAAAAGCTCTGACTTGTCCAGCAGCACCAATGCTTTTGGAAGGCTGATTAGTAACCTTTCTCAGATCCTCCAACTCCCTTTCCCTGGACATTATTTTCCTAGCTCCTCCCCCAATGGCATTAGATTTAGATAAATCCCCTCCACCATAGGATTCACAGTGGTTCTGCTTCCTTGACGAAACCTTGACTGACGAACCAGCATTTTTTTCACCCTATCAATTTGTTACCAAAACACCAAGGGTTAGGTCTAGGTTCTGCTGCTTGCCACACAGAAAGCCAATCACTGACACAAGTGTTGCCAGTTAAGAAGGCTTTAATTGGGTGCTGCAGCCAAGGAGATGGGAGATCAGTCTCAAATCCATCTCCCTGACTGGCTAAAATTAGGGGATTATATAGCAGGGAAGAAATGTAACTACATACAGGAAAACAGGAATTAGGAAGGGGTAAGGAAGAGGAGCTGTTCAACAGGAAG